TCCGAGATGTTGTAGAATCTTAACTTAGAAGGAACGAACACGTCGCCCTCGCTCGCCTTCGCATATAATTCTCGTTTATTTCACAGCGTAATTAACTAGAGAAAGACTTTGGTAAATCGTCAGTTGCAGTGCTGTACATTTTTTTTTTTTAAACGTCTGCGAGTCGTTTCTGCACTCTGCCTCTTTGTTTCCATCACTTCGAAGTGTGTTCCACTGCCAAATGGCTGTGAATCTACAAGCACGTCAAATCAAATTTCCTCAGGGAATCTTCCATCCGTGTCAGCAAACTCGATATTTCATGGATGCAAGTCGATTCCAGCTTCGGAATCGTGGAAAGGATTATCACACAATTTCCACGGAAATATCTCTCTCCTTTCGTCCGGCAGCGATCCTAGGATCTCGAAAGGGTTGTCGTTTCATTTACAGTATTTTATCACCTAAGTATGTAATTATCTCACACTACACATTTCCCTCGTACTTATATATCTACGAAATATATATATATAACATATGTGTACATGTGTATATACATATATATCCCATCTCGTATAGAACTGGTGTACAGTATGTATATATCTTACAGTATGTAAACTTTACAGAGTAACGCTACGTCATAGAAGCATGCGTTAGAAAAATAATGTTTCTGAATCAAAAAACAGGAGAAAAAAAGCGGCGTGGAGGTGGAGGGTAGAGAAAGATCTTTTTTTTTTTTTTCATTCCTGGCAATCGTCGCCAGGTCGCCAAGTAAAACGTGGAACGTGGAACGAATAGTGGATTGTGAGTTTTGTCAACGAGAACGGCATTCGAAACGGTAGAAACGAAACACATCCGGCGAATGACGAATCAGGGGGCTACAGATCGTAGAGTTCGAGGCGCAGGAAGTGTAACACACAGGGCTGTCGTCGAGACAGAGGGAAGTCGAGAAAGGTGTAGTAGATGAAGCTTGTTGAGAGAAAAAAAAAGGACAAATAAAAGGAAAGAAAGAGAGAAAAACGGACAAACAGAGTGAAAGAATTGCAAAAAAACCGGTCCCCGCCTCCACACCGCGCGAACCTTACCTTCCGGATCCCTTGAATTGCTTAATTAATGGACGTAACATCATAAACGTTACTTCGCTTATTTAATGGACGTAACACCGTG